TCCTAGGCCCCTGATGTTTGGTGTTTGTTTCTCTACACCTCTCCTTCCCCTCTTTTAGATCACGACTGAAGACCTTCCTCTTCGATCATGTTTACAGTCAACCTCCTCCCTTCCCTGGCTTGACGTTGAGTTCCGGCACTGTTAAGCGTTCCAAGACCCTGCCCTTGTGAAGGGCGCTATAGAAATGTATGTTATTGTTGTTTGACACGGTCACAGTCCCCAAATTTTTGCAAGGTCTTTTTGCAAATAATACATTTAAAAAAAATTTAGCTGTCACTTATCTACAACTGTTGAAAAAATAAGCCAAAGGATGAGCATGGAGAAATAAATCCCACTAATTTGCAAACTATTTTTATACATGCAAAAATATATTAATTACTACATATAATAATTATGCATCTAGAGTATTTTAGATACTGTGTTAAGTACACTGAAACCATACACTACTGTACTAATAATAATGTATTTGTTGCCAAGGTAATTGTGTCTGAACAGCCTCTGCCACATGATCAGACTCAGATGTTTGCTTCTCTACCATATTTATAATGTCAATGCTTATAATCAATGAGCTGTCAGAACCATTATAGTTCAAAGCGTGCTCTATAATTATGTAAATTTAGGAACTGTGCTGCCATACCATCTTGGAGCAAAGGAACTGACATAAAACTATTCTTTTAAATCAAACGAGACATTTACAATGGGGTATCACAATCCATCCTCCAGTATTTTCACACACTATTATAACAATGTCCCATAAAATCAACCATGTACTTATTAAACTTGAGTTTCCAATCTAACTGCTCTTCCTTCTTGACTTTACCTACCTTCCCCCATGGTATCAGCCTGCATTAGTGCCACCCTTCTCAAATCTTGCTCCCTACACTTGCACCCATGTAACCATAAAATCACATCTCCACCATTCCCCTAATCCACTCCACTCCGTAGACCTGATTTTATTCTCAAAACTGAATAGTGGCTGGAAGGGAGTGGGGGAGGTACGTGATGAGACCATGAGTTCTTATGTTTTTTTGCTGCTGATGAACATTCTTTGGAAACCTTATATTACAACATAATAACTTTTTCACTGGCCTTATGAATAAAACTACCACCCAAATAGCAACAACGCCTAAAGACCAGAAGGCTGCATAGTGCCAAATGCCTTTCTCCTTTAAGCCATTGGAATTGAGTTAGCTAATCTTTACTGTTGTGGTACTAGAATTGATCTTAGAGTCCTGTGCTCGGGAGTGGGAAAACCAATCAGCAACATGAGTTGGAAAACAAACTCAAACTCTGGAACACTCTTACCCTATCCCTCTGCCTTGTCCCTTCCTTCCCCATCTTCAAGTCTCGCCTGAAAATCTTCCTATTTGACTGTGCCTATGGTCACCTTCCCCTCCGCGCAATGCTCCACCACTGTCAAGCGATCTGGGACACAACCCTGCACGAGGTGAGCTAGATAAATGCAAGTTGTTGGAAATGCAGATGTAAAGTGAGAAAATAATCAATGTGTGATACCATGAATACCAGCCTCACTGTCCAAGATCACACACACGCACACAAAGGAAGGCTTTCTGGGTAAGATTTCAGGATTACAGACAGTACCCTACCATGTCAATGTATTCAGAAGAGCAGGAAGGGAAATTGACAAAGCAAAATAAAAAAAAACATTCAACTTTAGTCCAGAACATATTCCGAATCCTGATTAAAAATCGCACAGCAGAAAATTCTGTGGAGACTGCAGTTAATTGGGAGTGTGACCACACTAATATATGGTTAGTAAATATACAAATCAGCTGGACAGCGAGTTCTAAATATTATGATTCTGACATCATGTTACAGTTGCTCCTTCACGTAAATTTGAATTCAGTTCTTCTTCTATGGTATTGGTGGAGTGCTGCAATATTGGGAGACGCCATCCTTTTAGCTGAGACTCCCAATTCTCACCGGTCAGTTCAGGTGGGATCTCATGGGACAATGTCATGTCACTTCATGGCTGTTGATGGGACACTGATGTGTGTAAATGAGCTGTTATGGTCGCCTACAAACAACAGCAAGTGACACGTGTCCGGCGAGCGCCCGTCACATCGGCACGCCGTCTCACGGCGCTGGATGGTCAGGGATTTTTCCGACCCAAGCTGGGAGTTGGGGGGTCAGGAGGGGAGGAGGAGGAGGAGGAGGGGGGGAGGAGGAGGGTCTTTAGACGGGATTTGAAGGAGGCGCGAGAGGGGGTGAGGCGCAGGGATTGCGGGACAGTTCCAGAGTGTGGGGGCAGAGAGGCTGAATGACCGACCGCCGACGTCGGGCCGGGATAGCTCGGGGATCCGGAGCAGCCGGTGTCCGCCGAGCGGAGGGGGCGCTCAGGCTGATATGGGGTTAGGAGGTTGGGGGGGAGGGGGGGACCAAGGCCGCGGGGGGGCCCTGAAGCTGAGACCTCCCTCTGTGCTGTAAAACTCTCTTGTGATTCTCAGGCACAGGGGGAGGGGGGGGGGCGCCGCCAGGCAGCACTGAGGCTGCGCGGTGCCCGTATCAAACATGGCGTCACCGGAAATGGACTCATCCTGGCTTGGAATGACGTCAGCAGCCCCGGTGAACGTCTTTCTTCCGGTTCCGGTAGATTTGGCGCCAGATTTCATTGTGGGCAAAAAAAGAGAAACAGAGACACAGATACAGAGAGAGAGAGAGAGAGGGGAATGGGTCCCGAGAGAGACACCCACACCGGTATGACAGCTCTGCTCCGTGTGCGCTGTAGCTATAGATTGTACCCTGTGCTGTGTGCCGTGTGCCCTGTGCTGTGTACCTTGTGCTGTGTGCCCTGTGCTGTGTGCCCTGTGCTGTGTGCCCTGTGCTGTGTGCCCTGTGCTGTGTGCCCTGTGCTGTGTGCCCTGTGCTGTGTGCCCTGTGCTGTGTGCCCTGTGCTGTGTGCCCTGTGCTGTGTGCCCTGTGCTGTGTGCCCTGTGCTGTGTGCCCTGTGCTGTGTGCCCTGTGCTGTGTGCCCTGTGCTGTGTACCTTGTGCCTTGTGCTGTGGGCCCTGTGCTGTGGGCCCTGTGCCGTGGGCCCTGTGCCGTGTGCCTTGTGCCGTGTGCCCTGTGCCGTGTGCCCTGTGCCGTGTGCCGTGTGCCCTGTGCCGTGTGCCCTGTGCCGTGTGCCCTGTGCTGTGTGCCCTGTGCTGTGATCTGCACTGTGTGCCCTGTTATCTGCACTGTGTGCCCATACATCCCACCTACACATAGAAATTCCAGAGATAGATTGTTGGAATGCAATGCGCACTCTCTCCTCGGAGCGTCCTGTTTACTTAATTCCGGATAGTATTGGGCGCAGGTCGGCAAGAGCCAAGACTTGGGTACCCCAGAGTGTGCGCTGGGGTACTGCTGGAGTCTCGCCAGCTAAAACTGCATAGGTTACCTTTGATATCACTGTCTGGCAAGCTTTCCCGCTGCTTGTCCAGCTAGGACCACCCTATTTTTCAGGGTTTGGGCTTGCAGGGTTAATAAGAGCTGAGTGAGATGATTCCCTGCTCCCAGTGACTGATCTGCACTCCCAGGTCCTGCCAATGAGCCAGCTGGTTATGCTGTCATCAGTGTTGCCAAACATGTCACCTTGGAGCCAGTCCAGCTCCAAGGAGACCCTGGTTACCTCCCCTCCCAAGGAGGATAGAGGTCTTACCTCTCCTTCTACTCCCTCCTCAACCCCTGCAGTCTGGTTTCCACCCTGCCCACAGCACAGAGACAGCGCTTGTCAAAGTCACAAACAACATTCTCTCTATCTGTGACCAGGGTTCCCTCTGCCTCCTTATCCTTCTGGATCTCTCTGCCACGTTTGACACAGTTGACCAAGCCATCCTCCTCCGTCGGCTCTCCTCCCTCATCTACCTTAGTGGGACCGCACTTGCATGGTTCAAGTCCTACTTAATGAACCCCCTCCATTTCATCTTAGCAAATGGTTTCTCCCTCCCTTGCCCGGTCACCTGCAGGGTACCCACGGCTCCATCCTTGTCCCTCTTCTTTTCCTTATCTATATGCTCCTTCTGGGCAATGTCATCTGCAGACATGGGGTAAACTTCCACATGTATATGGATGACGAACAAATCTACTTAGCCTCCTCCAGTACCAACTTCAGGTCCACCGATGTTCTATCAGCTTGTCTGGCAGACATCAAGACCTGGATATGTGTAAACTTCCTGCTGCTGAATATGCTGTCCTTCCTCCCCCATATTTGGTCCCTGACCAGGACCACCTTCTTCCACCTCCGCCACATTGCTTGCCTCCAACTGTACCTTACCACAAATGCAGCCAAAACCCTCGTGCATGCATATATCACCTCCCTCTTGGATTACTCCAACGACTTCTCGCCGGTCTCCCCAGCTGCACCATTCACAAGATGCAGCTCATTCAAAACTCTGCCGCCCACATACTGACCCAGACCAAACTCCGTACCCACATCTCACCAGTTCTGGCCAGGCTCCACTGGCTCCCCATCACCAAATGGATCGACTTCAAGATCCTCACACTCGTGTTCAAACCCATTCACTCCCTGGCACCTCCCTACCTCTCCGACCTCCTCACTCTCCAATCCACCACCCGGCGCCTCCGCTCGACTTGCACCAGCCCCCTGCTCGTCTCTCACATCTTCCGCCCCACCATCGGAGGTCGCCCTTTCAACCACTATGCCCCAATACTCTGGAACACAATCCCTCAATCCCCCCTCTCTCCCCTCTTTCAAGTCCAACCTGAAAACTTTCCTCTTTGACCATACTTATGGCCACCTCCCTCCTCCCCACGGCTCGGAGTCAGGCTCTGCCGCTGTTAGGCACTCTGAGATGCTATATATAAGTTGTTGTAGTCACTAGTTGCTCGTTCGACATCCGACAAGTGCGGATTTGAGCCCTCAATAGGTGGATGGTAGGTACCAGGATCTCTCTGCATATTGTTTGTTATAATACAGAACTACAAAAAAAGGGTGACTTCAAAGTTCATCTTGTGTGCTTTTATAAACCTTGAAGGTGATGTTAACTCCAGTGGATTGGCAGCAACACGTTCAAAACGAGACCGGAAACAGAAAGGTGGGCGAGTATTAGCACTGGAGCGTTTGAAGAAAGCCAAGGCTGGTGAGAAAATAAAATATGAGGTAAGGTAGTCACCATTAAACATAACAGTAGTTTGAGGGGCAGAGTTTAAGTAAAGAGATACTTACTCCAGATTTTGACATGACAATATTGACAATATCAACATGACTGTGATCTCTTGGTACATGAAGAATTGGTGTGCAATATGCAGCTTCTGCTGGTAAGTCAGCAGGACGTTTTCAAAGCGTTTCAAAGCACTTCATAAGATATACTGTAAAGTGTAATGGCTGTGTATTTTGTAGGTGAATTGATCATAATCTCTATAACCCCTATCGTAATGATTCTGTGTAATAAATTGCATTTTCTATCCGATGATTTCCTGCATTATTAAAGACATGTTTGTCAGACACTTAATAGACCATTGCAGAACTGCTCCAAATCCCTTCTTGTGTCGCCTTTGTGTTTTTGTGATGGATCTGTGTTTTGTGCAGCTGGTTGGGTTGCTACTCAGTGCAGTGTGTTATTTTACATGCAGTCCAAAAGTGATGTGAATTAACATGATGACTATTGCTACTATCCTTCAGGTGGAAGACATCACAAATGTTTACGAGGAGCTTGATGAAGACCAGTACTCAAAACTTGTCTGTGAGCGGCAGGAAGATGATTGGATAATTGACGATGGTATTGTTGATCCTGTTTCACTAATAAGTTTGTATTTTATTATTCCTTGAGACATAGATGCTGCAATGTACCAAGTGTTTCCCCCCACTTCATTGACAGTATCTTCATTTACAGACTAAGATTTTGAGGTGAAGTGCTCCCCTCCCCCACACATCCTGTTTGCTGCATTAAAATTATGTCAATAAATGAAGCCACAAGGCATTATATGAATATAAATTTGTACTGTATTTTAACACAGTGTTTTGTTTGATAGATGGGATTGGTTATGTGGAAGATGGCCGAGAAATCTTTGATGATGAGCTGCAGGAGGATGTTTTTGATTCGAAAAACAAAGGTGAGGATTTAGCTACTGTACGGAGTGAGTGTGAAGCAGTCAGGAGCACTGGTGGTTAATTCATTGTAGTCAATGAAGGAGACAGACTTCGAACTTAATGCACTCTCCTAAATTGTTTGCCCATAATGTGTCTAGACATCTGTTTTTATGACATTAATGAAGTGTAAATTCTGATATTCCTCATGAATGTGAATGATTGAATATCCAGAATTTAGAACAGTTCAGAACGACACTGGTTGGTTTGACCAGATCGACATGCTACTGGACACATTCTTAAAATTCAATGTGTGATTTGGGCTGTTTTTTGGCAGCATGTGCTGTGCGGTTCAATTGTCCTCTTATTGTCCTCAATTGTCAATTATTACCCCCGGAAAGCGATCCGCCAATCGACTAACAACAAACAACAACAAACAAAAAACAACAACCGGATTCCTACTTACTGCTAGGTAAACAGGCGTGTGGAGTAATGAAACTTACTTAAGGTCTCGCCCATGCCGGGAATCGAACCCGGGTCCTCTCGCTTGCGAGGCGAATGTGCTAACCGCTACGCTACAGGACAGATTGTCACATAGCATAGATGTGTTTAAGGGAAACCTAGATAGGTACATGAGGGAGAAAGGAATAGAAGGTTATGCTTGAAGGCTTAGTTGAGGAAGGGCAGGAGGAGGCTCATGTGGAGCATAAACACCGGCATAGACCAGTTGGGCCGAATGGCCTGTTTCTGTACTGTATACTCTAATGTATATTAGAGGACCTGGGTTTGATTCCTGGGCAGGGTGAGACTTTGGGCAAGTTTCCTTACTCCACATGCCGCTGTACCTAGCAGTAAGTAGGAACCCGGTTGTTAGTTGATTGGTGGATTGCTTTTCCAGGGGTAATAATCCTTCTTTTAAAAAAAATAATTTGGTCACTCAATCCACGACTGTTTGTGGGACACTGCCTTGCGCAATTAGCTGCCTTGTTTCATTCAGAAAATACAGTCAATTTACAGTAGAGCTGTGAAGCGCTTTGAGATGTCTCGTAGATGTGATAAGGTGCTATATCAATTACAAGGATTATTATTTTATCATTATTGTATATTGGTGCAAGTTACTTTGAACCAAAGTGAGGTATGACTATGTTTTATTGTGGAGTCCTGTAGCTCAGTAGTTAGAGCACTTGCCTCATAAGCGAGAGACCTGGGTTTGATTCCAGGAAGGGCGAAACCTTGGGCAAGTCTCCTTACTCCATACGCCTGATAGTAATCCCTCAAGAAAAAAAACCAATACTAAATTGGTCACTTCAATCCACGACTCTTTGTGGGACACTGCTGTGCGCAATTGGCTGCCGCGTTTCGCCCACAAATATACGGTCAATTCACTTGACAGTATATTCTGTGAAGCGCTTTGAGCCATCTAGAAGACGTGAAAAGCGCTATATTAAATGCAAGGATTATTATTATTATGTTGTGTTTTCTGATTGTCACCTCTTTGTTAAAATGTCTGAAAGTTGACGCTTCTTCACTGGTGTGTTCTTGCAGATAAAGAAAAAAATGTTAAGAGTAAACAGAAGAGAAATGTGCCTGTTTCAAAGCCCAACAACATCAAGTCCATGTTTCTGGCCAGCATTGCCAAGAAGAAAACTGAGGTGTGTTAAAATCTCTTGTTGCAGTGAAGTGAGGAGAATCATAGAAATTTACAGCACAGAGGAGGAATCTGCTGAGAGCAAGATGTTCGTTCATTCAATCCCACTGCCCTGCTTTATCTCCATACTCTTTCAAGCCTCTATCTTTCATGTATCTGACTAAGTAAAACATGCATAAGTCTTTATAAATCATATAATCGCCTAAGTTGTACATTCACCCAATCCCATTCAGTTTTCTATCAAAATATTTAGATTTCATTGCACTAATATTAATCACCTCCTAACTCATAACACTGCTCTCTTACCCGCCATTACTCCCACACTTACCGCTGCCTTGAATCACGGGAAATTATGTCCTGACCTGTCGATGCATGATCACTTAGCGGCGGGTTTCATTGAATCACAGGAAACCTAGTGTTGATCCATTGACTCGTGCAGAAGAACTTCCTTTCCCGCGATTCAGTGTGATACCAATTTTTACCGTTCAAGGCACATTGAATCGTGGGAAATATATTCTTGACCCATCACCTCATGCGCACTTACTGGCTGCATTGAATTACACATGAGGGGTGTAGATTATTGATTAAATCGGATTTTCTACGACTTCTATAGCTTGTCTGCAACCCAAACTTTGTATAAGTCGTATTAAATGTTATGGTCACGACTGATACGACTTATGTGAGTTTTACTATACTTCCCTTTCAAAATCCAAAACGAACTCAGCCTCAACACCTTATTTGGCAGGATATTCCACATCCCAACAGCTCTCTGAATGAAAAAACTGTAAATTCCCTCCCATATTGCCAAGTTAGATTCTCCACATCTACCAGTGGAAATGAGGTTACATCCCGTCTTTGTCCATGTAACAGCAGTGAAACAGTTTAAACAATATAAGAGTGCAGCTGCAATACCTAAGCCAGGCAGGTCTGCATTACCATAGGGAATTATTGGTAATTGACCAGCCTGACTATTTAGAAGTGTTTTACACTGGGTAGGGTGGCTCTAGCTGGACAGCCATAGGAAAGTTAGCAGTGCGCTGCAGTAGTAAGTTTCACGGTTTTAGCTGGTTTAGAATCAGCAGAACTTCAATGTGTATTTGGAGCCCAGAATGCTCTTATAAACCCTCACCAGATATCCTTCAGACATATTAAGAGGGTAGAAAAAAATGGTGATTATAAGAGATATCAGCCAATAGGACAAAAAGGACATTCCATGATTGGGAATTCCAGGTGAAGGATTTACGGTGTTGCTGTTCTGTTACAGATCTCTTTCTGTTTTGTTATTTCTTGCAGAAAGATGTTGACTTGTCCAAAGATGATCTGCTTGGAGATCTGCTTCAGGATATTCATGCTGAGGTGAGGGACTGAGTTGGATTCAAATTATTCCGGATGGGATGCTTGCCTTTCATGTTGATAAATTGCTTGTTTCCCTCTGAATGAGGAACTTCAGTGCTCGTGCATCATTGTTCTTATTCAACACTGGAAATATTTGTAATTTAATAATAATAATAAACCTTGCATTTGATATAGCGCCTTATCACGTCGTTGAGGCAGCTCAAAGTGCTTCACAAAATTGGGCAGGCAATTGCACACAGGAATGTCCCACGAACAGTTGTTGATTCAGTGACCCAATTTATTTTTTAATTCGCAGACATCCCCCATCCCACCACCGCCTGTCATTGCCCTGAAGAAGAGAAGGCCTCCAGGAGTATCATCAGTGAATCCATTTTCTGTCAAACCACCTACTCCTAAGGTACTTCCCAAAGCAATATCAGTGCATGTAAAACCTGACAACCTGGGTGCACATTTCTAATCTTCTTGAACAACTGCATAACACGTGCAACCAGGCCAACAAAACCAAGCCTTTCTTCACTTATTTGGAATATTAAACACAAGCAGAGAAACTTGTAGCATGTCTTTTCCAGTCCTGTACATGAGAGTGGGGTTTCTTTCAGCTGTGTTTTCTGAAGGCTGTGCTGTCCTTGCCCAGTGTCCACACATAGAAGTTAGATTCCCCTCCATAATATAGGGCACTGAGGCAAATTGTAATGCACCCGTTCAGGACAGATGAAGATTGCTGATTGGTCTTTAACTGTCAGGCATTTTTTTTATTGTATAATTTCTTTTTTTTTTAAATCACACAAATATGCTGCTGAAAATCAACATTTATCATGATTCCTTCACTTGAATCCCTGACAGCTTCGCATCAGAATTATGACATGTTACATATCTATATAATTGAACCTTTTTCATGCTCTTGCTGTATTCATATATATAAAACGTGAAGTTCATTGCAAATATCTTGGATAAAGTGAGAAATATAACAAGATGCTCAAAGAACATAATGCACATAATTGAGCAATTGCGTTTACAAGGTTGTAGGAAAGATCACAGTGCATAGAATTATAACATGTCATTCATTGAGCGTGTACTCAGCCAGCAGCTTTGAAAATGGGAAGTAAATTACTTTGGAACACTCAATGTCATCAAGCTATCATATGATGAACTATGCCCTGTCTTAATACTATACTAGATTAAAATGATTTCTGTTTTGGGTTGGGGTAGAGGTCAGATGTCTAATACAGTGACAGTTTCACTGTATCATGTCACTAGTATAATAAACTTCAGACGAGTTCAGAGCCATGTTAGGTAGGTGCTATGAAAACTACTGGTGAGATCTCAGTTCCACTGCTAGCTTTTTCCTCTGCAGATATTTTAAAACTTCTATGTTTTTTTTAAACCCAAGAATTCTTCAGCTCCTCATCGAGCGAGCAGTTCAGGGAGGAACTTTCCGGTTACTACAGAAGAAGCCTGTGCTGTGAATGCAGTCCAGCCTGTTCCAGCCAACTCCTCAATCAAACAAATGAAGCAAGACCAGAAAAAGCTGAAGGTGGGGAAAGAAACTAATGATCGAGAGGCTGTAACTACAAAACAGGAGGAAGAATGTGCTGATGGTAAGCCAAGTTGACATTCTATTCATTTTGGATTCCTTTGCCAGAAAATGTGCACTTTCTTTCTAAATGGAGCCCTCGCTATGAATTTCCTTTTGTAGAGGATGCCAACGCAATGGAGTTTGTTGAAGGAGACTTTGATGAACCAATGGAGGCTGATTCCTCCTCCTCAGTGAAGGTGGAGGTGGTGAAGTCTGAGAACAACATTAAGATGGAGGAGCCAGAAGAGGACATCAAACCATTTTTGTAAGGCAATAAAATTCTCATCTTAGCCAAATCAGCGGGACAATGGGGGTCTGTTATGCATCATATGTAAAGAGGGAATATGGGCCGTTACTAATTATTTAATTAATGACTAATACTCAGCCTTTTCACTGGTTGTTAATTCCATAATTAACAATGTAATTAATTACCTTTGCAGATTTGCATTTACACATGGTGCAAAATACACATATTTACACAAAATAGCCCCCTTTAATCTAGGTCATAGGGCTTAGTTAAGAAGTTCTAGAGGTTTGGACTACCCCAAAACTGGAACCATCAATATTTAAATGACTTACTGTTGGTTTGATTTTGATAGCCATGAGTACTTAACATTTATTTTTGATTGAAAAGATTTCCAGTTAGATCCTGATCTCTGGCCACAATCTCTTATTATGCAATCGCTGTCAGAATCATTCTTCAGAAATGTTCTGTCCTAGTTGCAGGATGGACAACCTCAACTGTAAGCTACTTGGAGATGTCAAAGCACAATATATTGACCCTAGGGACCAGAATTCATAAGATTAGAGAAGTTGAGGCTTCTTGTTGAATGGTCTCAAGTTTGCTGACTGTCTCAGTACATAGAGATCAGTTAAATCAGCAGTATTATGATCCAGGGGTCTGGAAGAGAATATGTTCTGAGAGGTTCAAGTTCGGGGTAATTTATTTCATTGTATGACAATTTTCCTTGGATATTTCTGTAGCTCACTGCAAATACAAGTGTGGTGAGACTTTTTTGGGCCAATTGTAGCGAAGAGTTTAGAATCGCTAATTGTTCAAAGAATGTACACATTCCCTGTAGTGAAGGTAATTCAGAAGGTTGAATGTGCATTAATCGTGCATTAAAATCCTGTTTAAACTATACTGTAGTATTTTCAGGGGGAAAAAAAATAATAATTGATTGGTGGCCTTGATTTTTTTTGTGTGTGATTGGCATGTTTTAGGAAGTCCACTGTCCCCAAATCTTCCTGTTGGGAGCGCATGAGCCAAGATGACAGTGATTCCACGGTGGTTGATGTGCAGCTAGATGCAGGTCGTTTACCCTTAGTTACGGGTTCAGATGGAGATCAGGTCTTTAGATTCTACTGGGTGGATGCTTATGAGGAACAATATCATCAACCAGGTAAATGAGTGTGTGCTGCAAACGTATTTTAATGATAATAATAATAATAATCCTTGCATTTTGAATATAGCGCTTTTCACGTCGGGAGGACGTCCCAAAGCGCTTCACAGAAGACACTGTAAAGTGAATTGACTGTATATTTGTGGGCGAACGCGGCAGCCAATTGTGCACAGCAATGTCCCACAAACAGTCGTAGATTGAAAATGACCGATTTATTATTGTTTTTGGTTTTGGAGGGATTATTATTAGGCTCTGTGTGGAGTAAGGAAACTTGCCCAAGGTTTCGCCCTCTGCCTGGAATTGAACTCAGGTCTCTAGCTTGCAAAGTGAGTGTTCTAACCACTGAGCTACAGGACTCCACAATGATGAGTATTTAATACATTTTTTCAGAGTCTGAGAAGCAGTAGTATTAATACACTGTCAATATTTAATATCTCATTTATAGAATCATACAGCACAGAAGGAGGTCATTCGGCCCATCGTGTCTGTGCTCCCCAAATAATTATCTACTTCTCTCTTAAAAATTGCTATCGAATCGGCTTCCGATTCCGATTGGTGTCCCTTTAGACACCATTTCATAGTACATTCATGGCTGACTGTTTTATTTTTATATTTATATAGTGCCAAATGTTTTTCAGTGTTGAAAAATTAGGGCAGCTCAGACCTTTGCCTAAGAAATTAACCTTTCAATGCATAGATTTAAAGCCACCTGACTTGTTTCATCCACCAATTTACACCATGAACCCTTTCTGTGCCTGTGACTGAATTGTCCCATTTAATCTGCAAACAAAGTTTTCTGCAGTGTGAAAGAGTTCAGAATTTAATACTGAGCTCAGTTTATTTACGTAGATCCTTTGTATCTCTGTACTCTGTAGAATGTAAAAAAGAACAACTTTGATTATGATAAACTTATGTTTTCAGACTTTGCCTTAATTATTCAAGATGCTCCCCAATAACGCCAAACATGAAGAGCAACACTAGTTGGAACTATAGTAGTAGTAATAACAATAATGCATGCATTTGATATAATATAATAATAACCATTGCATTTGATATAGTGCCTTATCATGTCTTCGAGGCGTCTCAAAGTGCATTACAGAATATATTAAGTGAATTTACTGTATATTTTGCGGGTGAAACGCGGCAGACAATTGCGTACAACAGTGTACCACAAACAGTCGTAGATTGATATAGGGCCTTATGACATCTTCGAAACATCTCAAAGCGTTTCACAGAATATACTGTAAAGTGAATTGACTGTATATTTTGTGGGTGAAAAAGTTCCTCATATTGTGTGGTTCTGATGGAATAAGTGCATTAATAATAATACATAATAATCCTTGCACTTGACATAAGACCTTATCATCTTGAAATATCATGAAATGTTGCAGTTTTCTGTAAAATGCATTGACTATTTATAGGTGAATGTAGCAGGTAAATTATGCACAACAATCTCCTAGCTTTTTGTTTCTGGGGATTGTTGGCCAGGAAACTGGAAGAATCTCCTTTCTGTTTTCATGTAGTGCTATGGGATCTTTAAAGTCCGTCTTAACAGGCAGGCGGTACCTTGGTTTAATGTCTCATCTGAAGGACAGCATCTCTGACAATGCAGCGGACCTCCAGTATTGCATTGAATTGCCAGCCTAGACTATGAACTCAAAGTCTTAAAGTGGAGCATGAATCCGCAACCTTCTGACCCAGAGGCTAGAGTGCTGGTAACTGAGCCAAGCTGATGTTTGAAAGGTATATTTCCTGCGAGGACATGATTAACCATTTGCATTTTCTCAGGGGTGGTGTATCTTTTCGGCAAAGTCTGGATTGAATCGGCGAAGACTCATGTCAGCTGCGCTGTGGCTGTGAAAAATATCGAACGCACGATATACCTGTTGCCACGAGAAACGGTATGCAACTCTCTTGATCTCATCGAAATGTGTTATAATAGAGTTCTTCATCCTTGATGTTATAGACTGGTCTGCTTTAAACTGTTAATAATCAAAATAATCTCTGGTGATCATTATCACAGAGTCTCATATTCTGCTCCTTACCATGTTCTAGAAAATAAGTCGCTAATTGTGTAGCTGAACCATTCTCCCCCTATACTTTCTGAAAATGGTTTGCTTGCAAAGCTTGTGGCAACTATTGAACCACATGGGACACTTGATCCTGTGACAATTGTAAGTTTGAATGGCACTCATTTCTAGGTATGATGTGCATTTTATGCTAAATGAGAATGTGACCAGTGTGGTATTACATGATTGACCTCCAAACTATCTGAGTGACTGGTTACTATCCGTTGGAACTTTGTGTCAAGAATTTGAACTGTATTATTTTTCAATGAATTGTTGATTTGTTTTCGAATTCTTTTCAGCGCATAAACCTTAAAACTGGCGAGGACACAGGAGTACCTGTAGCTATATTGGATGTTTACAAGGAGTTCAATGAGACTATTTCTGAAAAGTACAAAATAATGAAGTTCAAATCAAAGGTTTGTTGGCTGTGATATTGCACACTATTTCACATGGTCAGTCATGTTGCAACGTTTCACCTGATGAGAGTGAGTTTTCATTTTCAGAAAGTGGAGAAAAGATACGCTTTTGAAATTCCAGACATCCCTGATACGTGTGAATACTTGGAAGTTAAATACACAGTAAGTGCGATGAAATGTCTAAATCAAACGTTTGTGTATTTTTTTTAAAAAATTGAATATTGTGGACACTGCATGATAATTTCTCTGCTTCAAGTCCAGCTCCATTTTTGTAAAGTACTCAGACATTACTCTTCATGAAGAGTACTGTATAAATGCATGTTGTATTGGGTGAAATGTTTATAAATGACTATCCTTGCTCTGTCCAGGCTGATCTACTGCAGCTTCCTTTGGATTTAAAAGGAGAAACCTTTTCCCATGTGTTTGGCACCAATACATCAAGCCTTGAGCTTTTGCTCCTGAACAGAAAGATGAAGGGACCAAGCTGGCTGGAAATCAAGACACCACGTAAGAATTCCCAGTGTTTCTGAGAAATCATGGTCACTGAGTCTTTGCAATTTTTTAGAGAATTTTTTAACAAATCTTTAGAGGTGCCACATACAAACCATGCATTTGAGTGAAAAATATCACATCCAAGATCTGCAATCTAATCTTTGAAACCTAGGAATTCATTTTTAATTTTTTTTTGTAAATTGGTGGGACCTGAAAAGTAGATTCAGATCATTAGCAATACAGAGAACTCCACTGGATATGTGCCCATTGTGTTATATGTAAACAGAAGCTGAATATTGTAGTACAACTTTAACCCTTAGATCTTTGTAGAAATTGACTCAGGGATCAGGATTATATGTTGATCCTGTAACTTTGAGAGTAATTTATTCCTGTTCAAAGCCCTGAAGGGGGAAAACTAGTGCTTGTCTCAGCCCAAAGATAGCAAATCTGCAGCATGCTGGCTTTTATTTTTTAAAAAATAAACTTTGCGTATTTTTTTTAAGTCTGTTTGCTTGTGTATTGTTACACCAGCCACTAACCATTAAACCTTTATACAACAGCTATTTTTAAAATATAATTTGGAAGAATATATGCGTCCTTCAAGGAGGGTAAGGGTGGTCTGAAGGATCTGATGAGCAGTGTTTTCTAAATGGATTTGTTGTGTTAATTGTGACTTTTGTGAATTTTGAATTGCAGGATTCTCAAATGCCAAATGCTAATCCTGAAAGTGTTAGACCCCAGTCTGCTTTGGGAATGGAAATATCATTTCACTGCCGTGTACATTAGCGTGAATTTATTAAAACCTTTCAATGTATTCCTCTTAATTTCCTTTCACACTCACAAAAGGAGAGCTAGCCACTGGGTGCATGCATGGCTCTGATCCAATCATAACATTTCTTAGCAAATTAGTTATGTGTTTGAGGATTCAGCTGTAGTATCATATAGCTCATTTAACTTTGTCTTTAGCACTGCATTATGATACTCTAAATGGTCTCTGATTGCTCTGTCAAGATAATTGTATAAATATAGGTTGAAAATTGCACTGCGCTGTGGTTCTTTTATTGTGCCATCACTGTGCATGTATGTACTGTGCACACATCCAGATGGAAACTAATAAGTGAAAAAAATGGTTGTGATTATAATTTATTGTAATTTTCTAGCCAGTGTACATTTTCGCAGCTCCTGAAGGGTTCATCAAATCCACAAGAGATGCACAAAACTGTCTTTCTTTAATTATTAATATTGCTTCATTTGGATAGAACAGTTCCCTTCCCCCTCATCCCCTGACATTCCTATTTGGTGTGAGTTTTGAATGGGTGGGGCAGAGGATCCCCTACAAGTTGATGCAAATTTAAGATGCTATGTGTGAAGTGGCAGATTGTATTTAACTCTTTTAACAAAGTCTAGTGTGCATTTTCTTCCCCCTACCCCCAGTATTTTTAAGTAAACCATGTTTAGTTGCCTTATGTCTATTTACAAATAATACATCAAGTATTCTTTTCATTCCAGCCACACATTAGTTGGTAGCACTCTCACCTCTGGGTTGTAAGATTGTGGATTCAAGCCCTATGATAGAACATCAGAGCTTGAGTTCAAAGCCCAGCCTGGCCCTATAGTGCACTTCTGGGGAGCACTGCAGGACACGGAGCAACTTAGGGAAATTTTCATTAGTAGAGAATTGGTGCTAGGGAAACTGTTAGCACTAAAAAGTGACAAATCCCTGGTCCGGATGGCTTGCATCCCAGGGTTTTAAAAGGGATATCTTATGAGATAGTGGAGGCCTTATATCTAATCTTCCAAAATTCCTTGGATTCTGGAACAGTCCCCGTGGATTGGAAGATCGCAAATGTCACACCACTATTTAAAAAAGGTGGAAAGGAAAAGATGGGGAACTCTAGGCCAGTTAGTCTCACATCAGTGATGGGAAAATTTTTAGAAATATTGATTAAGGATGTGGTAGTGCACTATTTAGGGGAGCACAATATAGTTAGGCCAAGTCAACATGGCTTTACAAAAGGAAATCACGTTTGACAATCTCATAGTTTTTTGAGGATATTTCCAGTGAACTAGATAAGGGTGAATCAGTGGTCTATTTGGACTTCCAGAAAGCATTCGATAAGGTGGCGCATAAAAGGTTAGTCCAAAAGATAAGGGCCCATGGAATTGGGGGGAGCATATTAACGTGGATTGGGGAATGGTTAACGGGTAGGAAACAAAGAGTAGGAATAAACGGGTCCTTTTCAGATTGGCGGGATGTGACTAGTGGAGTGCCACACGGATCAGTCCTTGGGCCTCAGCTATTTACCATCCACATCAACGATCTAGATGAGGACATCGAAGTTAATATATCTAAATTCGCGGATGACACAAAACTAAGAGGAAGTGTCAACACTCGAGGATGACATTAAAAAAAATGCAGCGAGGCATAGATAGGTTAGGTGATTGGGCAGGTAGGTGGCAGATGAAGTAATGTAGGGAAGTGCAAAGTCATCCACCTAGGTAGCAAAAACAGTAGAACGGGTTATTTTTTAGAAGGGGAGAGATTGGAATGTGTTAGCGTCCAGAGGGACTTGGGTGTCCTTGTACACCAATCACAGAAAGTTAGTCTGCAGGTGCAGCAAACAATTAGGAAGGCGAACGGTATGTTAGCATTCATTATGAAAGGATTAGAGTATAAGAGTAGGGAAGTCTTGCTGCAACTGTATAGGGCCCTGGTGAGACCACACCTGAAATACTGTGTGCAGTTTTGGTCTTATTTAAGGAAGGATGTACTTGCCTTGGAGGGGGTGCAGCGTAGATTTACTAGGTTAGTGCCAGGGATGAAAGGGATGAGTTCCGAGGATAGGCTGACCAATTTGGACCAATATTCTCTAGAATATAGAAGAATTAGAGGGGATCTTACAGAAACCTATAAGATCATCAAAGGGCATGAGAGAGTAGATAGTGGGAGATTGTTTCCCCTGGTTGGAGAAACTAAAACCAGGGGTCACAACCTTAAAATCAGAGGCCAGCCCTTTCACACTGAGTTGAGGAAGAACTTCTTCACTCAAAGGGTGGTGAATGTATGGAACTCACTACCCCAAAGGGCTGTTGACGCTCAGTCCTTGAACATATTCAAGACTGAGATAAATAGATTTCTTATTGCAAAAGGGATTAAGGGATATGGGGATAAGGCAGGGTTATGGTATTAGCTGGAGTTAGAAGATCAGCCATGATTGAATGGCAGGGCAGGCTCGAAGGGCCGACTGGCCTACTCCTGCTCCTACATGTTATGTTATGCATTATTATTGGTGGTGCCATTTTTTTTGGATGAGAAGTTAATCCTTGTTAAGATGGATGTGAATGATTCAGTAACACTATTCTTAAAGAGAAGGGAGTGTCCTGGTCAACAATCCTCGAGGTTCATTCATTGTTCAAGGATCAGATAGATTGAAGGGACTTCTTCATCCTTTATCTGTTGTGATTTTTGTCACCTCAAAACCAAAACAGGGATTTTTAAAAAAAAGTTTAGAACAGTGTTGCAAAGCTTAAAGAGGTAATTTGGAGCCTGTAATCAAACAGGCAATTTATCTCTTTGAGAGACCTTTCTGGTGCAGATAGCTCCATATTTGCCTACAAAAGCAGTGACTGGGCCTGACTGTAATTTCTTGTGAAGAGCTTTGAGACAATTTAACATAAGGTGTTATTAAAATTCAAGTTCTTTCCTTCGCAACACATTGTACATTAGTGTGCAGCTCCCAGTATTTTTAAAGAATGTGTTTTGATGCACTTGTCTGCTTTATGTACATGTAATAGTCACTGAATTCACTCCTCCAGCCCCAGTACTGGCTAGTACACCAGGTTATCATATCCCTATGTTTCTCATTTTTGTTTTCATGGTGTCTCTTGAGTTTCCCACATTTCATTCTGAATTACAGGCTGCTGTTTTGCCACAGCCTTGTGTCCAGTAGAGAAAGTAATGGGCATTATCCTCATGGAGTCTTGTAGCATATGGTTGGAGCATTCCCCTCGCAAGTGAGAGGACCTGGTGTCGATTCCCGGCCAGGGCGAAACCTTAGGCAAGTTTCCTTACTCCACATGCCTGTTTATCTAGCAGTAAGTAGGAACCCGGTTGTTAGTCGATTGGCAGATCGCTTTTCTGGAGGTGATAAATCCCTTTTTTTTTAAAAAAACAAAACACTCAACCCACAACTGTTTGTGGGACACTGCTGTGCACACTTGGCTGCCGTGTTTAGTCCAGAAAATAGTCAATTCACTTTACAGTATATTCTGTGAAGCACTTCTAGACATCTCAACAACGTGATAAGGTGCTATATCAACTGCAAGAATTATTATTTCACATGGGAATCACATCAGCTGAGAGATTAAATTTACTGTAATTTACACTTGATGCCAGAGTGCCAGCTTCCTTAAAGGGAAGGACGTGATCTTCAGAAGCGCATCATGGGGATTCAGGAGGATAAGGCTGCATCCTGTAGTACAGTGTATTTAACATTAGTGTTGTCTCCTGCAAATTATTTTGGAATAACTGCTGGAACTAAGCGATGGGCATGTAGTGTTAATCTGACCTAGGTATCAAATCCCATGTTTTGGATTTCAAGTCAAAATCACAGCACAGAAGGAGGCCATTCGGCCCATCGTGTCTGTGCTCTTTGAAAAGAGCTTCCAAATCAATTCCACTCCCCTGCTCTCTCTCCATAGCCCCGCAAACTTGTCCTTCCCAAATAATTGTCTACTTCTCTCTTAAAAGTTGTTATCGAATCAGCTTCCACCACCCTTCCAGGCAATGCATTCCAGATGCGAACAACTCAATGTGTGAAAAAAATTCTCTTCACCACCCCTCTGTTTCTTTTAACAACTATTTTAAATCGGTGCCCTCAGGTTACCGACCCACCCGCCAGTAGAAATAGTTTCTCCTTGTTTTCTCTTGTCAAATCCACTCATAATTTTGAAAAGTTCTATCAAGTCTCCTCTTAACCTTCTCTGCTCCAAGGAGAATAATCCTAGCTTCTCCTGATAACTAAAGTGCCTCATTCCTGATACTGTCCTGGTAAATCTCCTTTGCACCCTCTCGAATGCATTGACATCCTTCCTGAAGTGTGGGGCCCGGAACTGAACACAGTCTCTCGCTGAGGCCTAACCAGTGTTTTTTAAAGGTTCATCATAACTTCCTGACTTTTGTATTCTATGCCCCTATTTATAAAGCCTAGTATCCCGTACGCTTTAACAGCTTTATCTACTTGTCCTGCCACCTTCAAAGATTTACTTATATGAATCCCCAGCTCTCTCTGTTCCTTCATCCCCTTTAAGATTGTACCATCAAACTTATATTGCCTCTCCTCATTCTTCCATCACTTTACATTTTTCCACATTAAACTTCATCTATTATGTGTCTGCCCATTTTATCAGTCTGTCTATGTCCATTTGCAGACTGCTACTATCCTCTTCACTGTTTACTACTTTTCCTAGCTTAGTATCATCTGCCACTGTTTCTTTAGTACCGTGGGCTTCTATTTTGCTTACAAGTCTCTTATGTGGCACTTTATCAAACACCTTATGAAAATCCATCTAAACTACATCAACTGCACTACCTTCATCCACCCTCTCCCTTACAAATTTACGTTGGCTGTCCTTTATTAACCCTATATTTCTAAATGAAAATTTATTTTGGCCTGGATTATAGTCTCTAGAAGTTTCCCTGCTACTGACGTTAGGCTGACTGGCCTGCAGTACCCAGGTTATCATTTTATCCTTCTTCTTTAGATGCAAAGGACTTGTTCAGTATGTCAGCCATGCCCTTTGCCTTCACAAGAAGATTTCCTCTTTGGTCCCTAATTGGACCCACCCTACCTTTGACTAACCTTTTATTTCTTTATATGCTTATAAAATACCTTAGGGTTCCCTTTTATGTTACCGGCTAATCTTTTCTCATACAATCTCTTTGACCCCCCTTATTTCCTTTCTCAGTTCTCTTCTATACTTTGTATATTCTATTTGATTAACTTCTGTATTTTGGACCTGACATTTATCATAAGCTTGCTTTTTCGGTTTTATTTTAATCTGAATTTCCTTATTCATCCAGGTAGGTTTGGATGCCCTACCTTTCCTCTTTTATGGGAATGTATTTGTTCTGTTCCTGAACTATTTCCTTGAAGGCTTCCCATTGCTTGTTAGCTGTTTTACCTGCTAATCTTTCTTTCCAGTCCACCTTGGCTAAGTCCTTTTTTAACTCACTGAAATTAACCTTCTTCCAGTTGAGTATCTTCACCTTTGATTGTTCCTTGACCCTTTCCATAAGTAATCTAAACCTAATGAAGTTGTGATCACTGTTGTCCAGATGCTCTCCCACTGAAACCTGTTCCACTTGCTCCCCAGAATTAAATCCAGCACTGCTTCCTTCCTCATTGGGCTGGAAACATACTGATCCAGAAAGTTATCCTGTACACATTTCAGGAATCCTTTCCCCTCCTTGCTCTTTACACTGTTATTTTGGCAGTCTATGTTAGGATAATTGAAGCCCCCATTAACACTACTCTGTTGGTTTTGCATTATTCAGTAATTTGCTTCTAGATTTGCTCGGCTATCTCCTTCCCACCATTTGGTGGTCTACACCTAACAGAGTAACAGCTCCTTTTCTGCTCCTCAACTTCAATGAAACAGATTCTATTTTTGGACTCTCTAGCACATCAACTCTTTCCAGGGCCTTAACAGTGTTTTAATATTCAATCAATATTGCAACCACCTCCACCCGCCCTCCTTTTTTTCCTTCCCTATACCTCCTGAATACATTGTAGCCAGGAATATTCAACTCCCATTCCTGCCCTTATTTGAGCCGTTTATTGCCACTACATCATAACCCCATGTGGCAACTTGAGCCTGCAGCTCACAATCTTATTTGTCACACTCCGTGCATTTACGCACATGCACTTCAAGACCGACTTAATCTGTTTTACCTTAATCTGTTTAATCTCCCTCATCTATCCCTCCTTTTTCTGAATTACTCCTTATTGCATTACTATTAGTCTCCCAGCCCTCTATGTAACTTGTTCTCTCAAATGCTACATCCTGATTCCTTTCCCCCCTCAAAATTAGTTAAAACCCTTCCTCACAGCTCTAGTTAACCTCCCTGCGAGGATGTTGGTCCCAGCCCTGTTCAGGTGTAACCCATCCACCTTATACAGGTCCCACCTGCCCCAGAACTGATCTCAATGATCCCAGAACCTGAAACCCTCCTTTCTGCACCATTTCCCCAGCAAGTATTCATGTCTTTGATCCTGCTGTTTTGATACTCACTTACATGAGGTACTGGTAGTAATCCACAGATCACCAACTTTGAGCTCTTACTCTTTCATTTTTTCCCTAGGATCTGATAATTTCTCTGTAGGATCTCAGCCCCCCTTTTTCCTACATCATGACTTCTGGATATTCCCCTTCCCCCTGTAGAACATTTTGCACCTGTTCTGTGATGTCTTCAACCCTGGCACCAGAGAGGCAACATACCATGCAAGAGTCACATCATTGGTTGCAGAAACATCTGTCTTCTCCTCTCACTATTGTATCTCTAGTATCTCTCTTGCTGAAGAATTCCCACTCTCACCAAATTCCTTAACAGAATTCTCACACTGCTGGGCTCTCTGCTCAAGTGAGGTTTTCGCAAGTCTTCTCCTTTATGTAGGACTGAAACGAAAGCACCAGTTTTGACTGGTCAGTAGATTTTTTTTAATCCCCAACACCTGGCCTATGATTAAATGCTGATTGACTTGTTTGCCGCTTACATATACGGTTGCCTCTACCTCAAGATAGATCTCCAACTCTTCTGCTGTACAAAGGAGTTTTCTCTTGCTCTCTGGTATCTCTTTGCTGAATAATTCCCACTCTCACCAAATTCCTTAACAGAATTTTCACTCAGTTCTCTGCTCACAGTGCTGGGTTCTCTGTTCACACTGCTGGGTTCTCTGCTCAAGGGACAACAGATAAGGATAGAAAAGTTGCTTTGGCCCAATTGATCTCATGGTTTCGGAATACGTGCATCCCAACTGCTCATTGCAGTGTTCTGGCTTTCAGTGCCCTTCCTGGATCTAGCTATTCGTGACCCAGTGTTTAAATTCATGTTTTCTCATGTTTGTACCAACAATTTCTGGGTTGAGTGGAGTCCTGTAGCTCAGTGGTTAGAGCACTCGCCTCGCAAGCGAGAGACCTGTGTTCGATTCCTAGGAGGGCAAAACATTGGGCAAGTTTCCTTATTCCACACGCCTCTGTTTAACTGGCAATAAGTAGGAACCTGATTGTTAGTTGATTGGCAGATCACGTTTCTGGGGTAATAATTCCTTTTTTAAAAAAATTTGGTCACTCAATCTACGACTGTTTGTGGGACACTGCTGTGCGCAATTAGCTGCTGCGTTTTGCCCACAAAATATAAAGTCAATTCACTTTACAGTATAGTCTGTGAAGCGCTTTGAGTCGTTTCAAAGATGTGATAAGTTATATATCAAATGCAAGGATTATTATTGTTATGTCTGAACAGTTTTATTGAAGGCGAATTGCATGTTGAAATGTGTGCTGAGCTTCCTGTAACTGTTTCATGCTGTCTGTTTCCATTCAGAGCTCTGCAATCAGCCCATGAGTTGGTGTAAGGTGGAAGCAGTAGCACTGAAACCTGAACTTGTGACTGTGCTGAAAGATATTGCTCCTCCACCACTTGTGACCATGTGCATTAGCATGAAGACCGTGCAGAATTCGAAAACGCATCAGAATGAGGTATGGTTTCACAGTGGGACTTATCCTTTCCGATATCTTTTTTAAAAAAATGGCTATTGACTTTACCAACGGTTCAAGCTCCATTTCAGGACTCGGCTCGTAGTCGAGGCTGACACTTCAAGATAGTGCTCGAAGTACAAATCGGTAGAGATGATGTCCTTCTATCTACCTTTCACTTCATGGCTGTTGTGTAGGACTTTGCTATGTGTAAATTGACTACCGCGTTCACTTGCAAATACACATTTATGGTACATTTTACAGTAAATCCTGTGAAGCGCTTTGAGACGTTTTGATGACATTTAAAGTTACATGTAATGCAACAGTTGTCGTTATATTGTCCTTTGAGGAAATCACCTCCAGCTTCTTCCCATTACAACATCAAGTTGTTTGTTAAATGAGTCCAGCATCCTGGCTTCTATTGCCCTTTCTGGTGACCATTTCTAATCGTAGATTGTCACACCTGGAGTAAGGCTCCTTCTCTCGAGGGATGGAAACTCCTCCAAGGATTCCTGTATGGCATGGTTGAGTTGTGAAGGCTGAAACTAATTAATAGTGTTGATGTAGCTTCTTCATCTGCTGTATTTGTATTGCTGGATGTTAATCGCTTTTAGCAGTAAAGTAATATGGAATGGGAAATTAGTGTATCTGTGTGTTTGGGAGTGTATATAATATAGATTTTATACTATGCAAGGCTATTTATATGAGAAATTATATACATGTGTAGAGCTTGTTAGCTGGTGCCAGTTAATGTTTTAGTAATCTTTTAAAGTAAATCTGTGTTACGTTTACAAGTTCTTTGAGTTGACTGTGGTACCATAAGGATTTTAAATTGAATCGATTTCTCCTGAAGGAGATTTATACTGCACATTTAGCATTGGTTTGATGTTGAGTTTGTCTTGAATGTAGGCAGGATAAATGGTCTATTTAGTTCTGGAACCTTGTTGATAACATCAAGTTTGTCCACTTTTTGGAGGAGGTGGGTTGTAACTATTTGATTTGTTGAAAAGAACTGTTTACAGGGAGATTTCCTCTCACTATACTGATGGTTGTTATTTTTGTTGCAGGTTGTGGCCATAGCAGCCTTAGTACATCATGAATTTCCTGTGGACAAAGGTGCTCCCCAGCCTCAGTTCCAGACCTACTTTTGTGGTAACCATTCCTTTTGTTTACAAAATAAACCTAGAAATCCACAGCATAGAAGGAGGCCATTCGACCCATCACGTTTGCACCGGCTCACAGAGCAATGAGATCAATTAATTCCCACTGCCCTGCCTTATTGTCATACCCCTTCAAGCTTTTCTCTTTCATATGCCTGTCTACTTCCCTCTTGAAAGCTGCAATGGTCTCCGCCTCCATCTCCCTACTCAGCAGGGCCTTCCACAAGTTTATAGTGCAAAATAGAAAAAAAATGAAGATCACATATGAAATATAGAAACTCATGTTCTGGCTACTGATTGTAATAGTGAATCTGTGTTTTAGGTATAAGATCTATCCTCTGGTTGGATTTCATAGAATCATCGAATTATACAGCACAGAAGACCATTCAGTTCATTGTGTCCTTTGAAAGAGCTATCCAAATTAATCCCGCTCTCTCGCCATAGCCCTGCAAATTTGTTCTCCCCAAGTATCTATCTGATTTGCCTTTTAAACCAGACAAGTCTGTCGGGGGTGGGAGGGGGGCGGTTAAAAGCTGTGAACAATGGAAATGAAAGTCCCATTTGCTGGCTGTGAGATGGCAAGTGAGCAGGTCTGGGGCATGTTGGTTATTAGTCGATTGGCAGATCGCTTTTAGCCGGTTAATAATTCCTCCCAAAACAAACAAGAATAATAACTATATAATGGTCACTTAATCCATGACTGTTTGTGCACAAATGACTGTCGCATTTCGCCCAGAAAACATACAGTCAATTTACAGTATATTCTGTGAAGCGCTTTGAGACGTCTAGAAGATGTGATAAGGCCCTCTATCAAATGCAAGGATTATTATTATAGTGTACTGCCATCGTGTACCCAGGGTGCCAGCTACCAGCAAACATTGACCATAATTCAACATGAATTAGCTGCTTTGGTCCGAGAGGGCCAGTGTAGAGACTCTGCATTTAACACTGGTGCAATAGGGAGAACTTTCTGAAGTTGTAGTTAGAGCACATTCTGGGAGCTTAGCTCTGTATCCAACCTTTATTTCATGCTGGTACTGGATGCAAAATCAATAGGGATGTTTGTAAGAGCTGTAGACAGATACTTGAGTAGCAGCAGTATTAATGGGTATGGTGAAAGGATAAGCAATTGGGATTAAAAGATCTGCCAAGATCTAATAAATCAGTGGAATGTACTTGATAGGAGGAATGGCCTCCTTTTCCTATTTCCTGTGTTTCTATAGATATAGGTTCCATTTTCACCATTTGAGTTATTTTATAATGAACTTGGTGAAAAAATGGTTAAAATAACAATGCCTTCTTTTTCCAGTCATCAGCAAACCCAGTGACTGCATCTTTCCTTATGATTTCCAGGAGGCAGTGAAAAGAAAAGTGAGTAATTCTGCATGCGAGTTCCTTGCAAAAATGATTTTTAATGAGGAAAGAAAAGTAGAATCTGTACCTTTTGAAATCATGTGCATTTTGAATACATTCATTCACGTCATCAGATGACCTGGCGTAGAATTTGCTTTTGAATGAATTGGCAGTTTCACATGGGGACAAATTTATCAATGTTTAGTGTTCCTTACGCTATAGGTAAATGAAGCACTAGATTTTTGTGGACAACAGTGGTAGCTCAAAACCGGTGATGTATTGGAGAAATTCTTCTGGGTCTCCTGTAAATGATGGGCGTCATTTGGAAACTTACAGTAGCTTTTTATTTTGTATTTCATGCAATATCAATTCATTTAAATCCTTCCCCCAAATAAAAATTGATCATTCGTTTCATGGCTGTTGGGGAGACATTGCTGGGTGCAAATGGGCTGCTGGGTTTGCCAACAAATACACAGTCACTCCACAGTAATAATTCCTATAAAACACTTTGAGATGTCCACTGCCATTAAAGGTGCTATACAAAGTGCAAGGATTATTATTATTCCCCTTTATAGATTTTAGAATGTAAAATACGAGTTGGAAGTAAATTTAAGCTTAATATTTAATTCAGATGACTGGCGGCCAAGATACCATGAAAACTGGGCGTTTCTTCCCTTTTCTGTGGTTCTGGGTCAACGTGGCCGTGACACATACTAATCGACATCTTTGTAATCTTCCAACAGTTTATATTATATTATACTGTCCTGACAGTTAATAAAGTGGCCTGTTCTAAATCTACAAAATATGAAGAAAAATCCTTAAATATTTCAGTTTATTAAAAGAGGCAATTCTGCTGGCCCTTGTTTTGTGCTGGATTGTCAAATGAAGCTGGAACTGGTGAAAGTTAGAGACAATTTGGGTCAGGCTCACATTTTTTGCTTCGGATGGGGTCGGGGCTGAATTGTTCGGTGTAGGGGGGGGGGTAAGAATCTTTCTCAAGAAACGTTACAGTGCAGTTTTCAATCCTACGTCATCTGCTCAGGGAATCTTCCCGCTCAGCTTAAGAGTGAAGTGGTTTGTTGATGAAAATTTACAGGATTCTGGAAGAATGCTTAATGCATGATGGGTGAAAAGTTTGTTGGTTCAAATCCCGCTGTCTTCAGATCCAGAGGACGGTTTGCGCTGACATTCAAGTTTGAGATGCTGTCCTTTGAATGAAAAGCTAAACCAAGGTCTCATCTGCCTGTACTATAATGATCCATGGCACTATGCAAAAAGAGAAGGGAGCTTCTCTGGAGTCCTGGCTTGTAATGCTTCATGTATATTGGTCACTTGCTCGGCTATTGTGGGACCTTGCTCTGCAAAAGTTGGTTGCCTGCAAAATAAATTGACTACATGTGACAGCAAATCCATGTGAAGCATGAGATTATTTGATGTTGTAGGTGTTTATAGCAAGTGCTGTTCTTATAATTATAATAATGCATTTTAAAAAATGTTTGTAAGTTCACAAAACGTGATTGGATAAATAGTTCCCTTTTACCCTTGCTGTCCACATTACCTTTACGTTGAGGGTTACGAATGTAGGTGGTCGAAGGTAAGTTAAACTTGCTTGTTCAGATTCTAGATACACGGCAAATACTTTGAATTAAACTAATCTGATTTACCTTATTGATTTAGAATGTCAAAGTCGAGATTGCTGCAACTGAAAGAACTCTCTTGGGCTTTTTGCTGGCAAAGATTCACAAGATTGACCCTGATATTCTTGTGGTGAGTAAATATTTTGTGTTCATGGGAGTAATGAATGCTAAGGTTTTGGGCTCCTTATGTAATCATTTTTAATATTTATCTTTGGATTTGTGTCGCATCCCCAAACCGGTTGTAAAGCATGTACATTCTCTAAAAGCACCTATCAAGGTTATTTTGCACTTCTCTCTGTGCGGAATCTTATATTTCCAACTGCCTATAATCCAGAGAAATTCAAGTGGACCTGCTTGAGATTGTTATTTCAGATTCACGAGAAGTCAACCTGTCTTTGCCTATATTTGGACAGCTTCTAAAATGGGTCAGTCCACTAGTAGATTTGTACGTTCGAGTTTGTGATTCATTAAAAATTATTGCAGGCATTCAAGTTCACGGTGACCCATTCATAAACCCAATTTACATTCCAAGATTCTGTAATGAGCAAAGCCGTGCTCCAATATATCAATAAACTGGAATGAGAATTTATTTGAGTTTTGGAACATATGTAGTCTCTCCGGGATTGTTAGTGTAAATGCTGTGTAATGGTATTTTGTGGAGTCCTGTAGATTAGTGGTTAGAGCACTTGTCTCACAATCGAAAGGACCTGGGTTTGATTCCTGGGCAAGGCGAAACATTAGAAAAGTTTCCTTACTCCACACGCCTGTTTATCTAGCATTAAGTGGGAACCTGGGTTGTTAGTTGATTAGCAGATCGCTTTTCCGGGCTAATAAACCTTTCAAAAAAATAAATAATTAAAAAAATTGGTTGCTCAATCCACAACTGTTTTGTGGGACACTACTTACGCAATTGTCTGCCATGTTTCGCCCACAAAATATACAGTCAATTCATTTTGCAGTATATACTGTGAAATGCTTTAAGACGTCTCAAAGATATGATAAGGTGCTATATCAAATACAAATAGTATTATTATTATCTTCATAGTTAGGGGCATTTCAGATGATTGTTTGCAGGTGTCATTCCCCACCATCCCCCCTCTCTCCATCAGCTGATTTGAGATCTGTCCTATCCAAGATCCGACCTACTAAGGTTAAGTTTACAGCAACAACATTTACGTAGCGCCCTTCACGGCTAGTGTCCCAGAGCGACTGACAGTGACGGAGTCTGACCCTCAGCCGGAGGCGTGTGGTGACTGTAGTAAGCACGATCAAAGAGGAAGGCCTTTAGGCAGGATTTGAAAGTGGGCAGGGAGGAGGCAAGGTGGAGGGATTGGGGGAGAGAGTTCCAGAGCTTTGCAGCGCAATGACTGAAAGAACAGCTGCCGATGGTGAAGACGTGGGACAAACTGGAGGCCGGAGGCAGTGGGGAGTAAGCAAATTGGGCAGGTAGGGAGGTGCGAGCGCATGAAGGGATTTGAAAATAAGTGAGAAGATCTTGAAATCGATCCGTTCAGTAATTGAGAGACAGTGAAGCCTGGCAAGGACTGGTGTGATGGGGGTACAAAGTTTTGTGCAAGTGAGGTTAAAATTTAAGCCAAATCCAGTTACACAGCATTTAAAAAATTGAGGTTAATAATTATAGTGGAAACTCACCCTACGGTCATACCATTAATGTGGTCAGGATTTTTTTTCATTTCAACATTATATTGTATAGTACAGTAATGCCACCTCACTAGTGAGGTCAGTCTCCATATGGTCAAAAATCTGCTAGATGTCTACATTAGTGAGTTTGTACAGGTTATTGATATAATTGAAGATGCTCTTCCAAAAACTGAGAGAGGTTGGGATGGAAAAGGCATTTCTGTGTAAAGTAATGCTTCAATAATGATTTGCACTGTGCAGTACCCTTTATATAAAGTGAAAGTGTCAAAGCTCTTGAAGGACGTTTTAAAGCCACAATGTAAAATAAAAACAATTTACATTTCTATTAGCGCCTTTCACGTCGGAAGGGGTTTCACACAGCTAACTGGAAGCCTAAACTGGGGTTGGTGACCCAGGGGGGAGGAGGCGGAGTGACTGAAAGTATGGTCAAAAGAATAGGCAAGTTTTGAAGGTGCAGAGAGTGTGGAGGGACGCCCTGTTTGTCTATCTGTTGAGTTCTGTTCATTGTGCTGTTTAAAGTGTTTCTTGAGCTCCCATTAAAAAGCTGTGTGGACTCTTGGTGAAACATGATTAAGTGAGTCCAGAGAGATGTCGATTGCTTCCAGTTTCTTTCTCAAATGCTCTACACTGGGGTCTTATACATATCTTAATTGCTGAATAAAGAGTCTGAGTGGGGATAATTGCAACCAGAAATATCACCCTGACTCTCAAGAACCCCATTAATGACAAGTAGATTACTTTAGAGTGGAATTCTTTTGAGTCGAGGTTTGCAATGTCACTACTCTTCAGGGTAAGTCCTGTGAAGGCCTTTGTGATGTCTCAACAGAGTTACAGGCACTATATCAAATGCAAGTTTATACTTAATTCTTCTGATGATTTTCCTATAAAAGAATCTCATTTGATAATGCTGCATTTTAGATCCCATTGATTATGTTCCTTTTTTAATTGAACAAAACGTGTTTATTATTGAGCACAGCAAATAGATGAGAATGTGTTTCAAGGCAGCAATACATTTCAGTGTTAAAACTGTAGATTACACTGTAATCTGTTTTGCTCCCTCATGCCTTAGCTGTCCTGGTTACTGCCCATTCACTCTTTACTGTTTGATATTTTCAGGGCCATGATATATATGGATTTGATCTCGACGTTCTGTTACAAAGGATCAATGCTTGTAAAGTTCCTCACTGGTCGAAGATTGGTCGATTGAGGAGATCAGTCAAGCCCAAGCTCGGGGTAAGGCCACACTGGGTTATCAAAGTGAGAATCATCTGAACTGGAGACTGTTAGAGAACGGTATTAAAAAGCTGAAGTCACAGCTGTGTTGAAATGGTGACAGTCTACAACAGTAATGGAAGTAAATTGTCATGTATGTTAGTGACTAAGCTTTTAACCTAGTGTTTTATACATTTGGTGTTTGCTAAAAGGCTAAATAATGGAATGCCATTATCCTGCTAATGGAAACTCACACAATATGCAACCAGACATTCTCAATATTATCTTCAAATGCTAAGTGTGTGAGGGACAGGGGAGAAAGCTTACTTTAACTGCATTTAAAAAATGGAATTAGCATTCTGTACAATCATACCATAAGCATTAAGGCTTTAGAATAACTGCTGTTAATGCTGCAGGAGCTTTCTTCAGTTAGACTTGGCGTGTTACAGTAATAATTGTAAAAACATATGAATCTTTTATTATATTCTGTGTGGTATAGATATATGGAATTTTATATATGTATATATGACTGCTGTTTATCCTAGAGAAAGGATTAACACTTTGCAGTCTCATTTATAAATCAGACCCTTTGAAGGGAAGAGTTAAATTGGGGGTGGGAACCTTTTTTTAAACCAAATGCTGGTGATTATCAGGAAAACTCACTGAAGAGTTAGTCTGTGCTAGTCTCTGACTTGAGGGAGCTGAATTATTATGAGATACAGCCATCAGTCGAGGGTACTTGGTGTTTAAGTTCTTGCACATTAAAGAGGACGTAAGTGAAGGAAGGCATGCTTTCAGTATAATGTACTCTTAAGAAGTGCTGCAGAACATTAAAACGAACTCTGAGATGTATATAATTTTAACCTTCACCCTCCTCCAACAAAGTTTGGGAGCTCTGTTAATGTCTTGAGATGATGCCCATTAGTGAACAGCTCCACAGGGAATCCTTTAAGTTGACACAATGGTTATTAACGTTTAATAATGCCTCTCTACTGCTTGCTGTGCACTGACTGCATAACGCACAGTTTAAAACTATGAATATCTTTGGTGCTGTAGTGTTTTGTTATAATTTTCCAAATTACTGAGCTGAAAGAGCACTTTACATTGAAAACTTGCTCCCATGTGCTTACCATTTCCAGCGAATTCAGATCTAACCCACACTTGGACTCTCTTGTCTCTACCGAGCTACCAGCATTCATTGTTTAAGAAATGAATTCAAATAAAATCAACAAATGGAAGGCAGCAAAAACTTTTTTTAAAAAAAAGCCCTTACAGGAAGACTGTCTCAAATGTACCAAGTTGTCTTTTGATTTTTCTTACTTAAGGGTCGAGGTGGATTTGCTGAAAAGAATGCAGCTTGTGGTAGGATGATTTGTGACATTGAAATCTCTGCAAAAGAGTTGATCCGATGCAAGAGCTATAACTTGTCTGAGCTGGCTCATCAGATCCTGAAAATCGAGAGGGTTGCAATTCCAGTAGAAAATATCCGTAATCTTTATAGGTAGGTGACAAATTTGCACATCTTTATTCTTGAGAATTTTTATTTCATTCACAAAAGGACCTTTATTTTTTATGTTGAGGAACTTTGGTGAAAGGCCAAGGCCCATAGTGCAGCTCACTGCCAAAGTCCCAAACCACAGGAGAGACAAGGAGCTGTTGTTAGATGACACTGTGTTTGAGCTCTAAAAGGCTTTCAGTTTGTAGGAGGAAGGGAAAATTGAGAGAGGTAAAGAATTCCATGAATTCGATGATGCAGTACATTTTCATTTCAGTACAGGGGGGTGAAAGGTTGGGGAGTGGAAAAGGGAAGAAAGAGATGAAGTGCAAGAGTGGTTATAAATGAGACTAAAGGATGACATGGGGAAAAGTAGAGTGGAGGAATGGTCATGCAACTGCCACCGAGGAGATGGGATTGTACATTGTTGCCGATGTACCAGGCAGCTCAGGAAGAACACAATTTAAACGTCTTGTATTCTCTCGCTATTGCAACAAGGAAAAGGTTTTGGCACTTGGAATGGCTCCAAACGCAAACTGAATTGTTAAAGTTGGGAGGTGGGTTTTTATTTATTTATGGAGTCACAGACCCAATGCATAAAGTCATTCGTGAGAAACTAGAGGGTTGAATGTGAGAAACTACTTTTTGCATTCTGTTGAATTTAACAGCAAATGACACCAGAAGTATATTAATGGGGATAGATGCCCGTGACCACTTGTTCATTTCCTTTGCTGAATGTAATGATTACCAATCTGGACCAGGGACAGTGGTTAGGAATCTGGCAAGGCCAAACCACTGTAGATTAGCACAAACTGATCAGAACAATCATCACTAAAGCAGATGCTCATAAAATTGTAAATGTGGGTTTTCTTTTTTCAAAAGTGACTGTGAAATAATCATGCTTGTATCTGATATGGAGCCTATAACCCAAGAGTGTCTCAATGCGCTTCACATCATTTCTGTGAAGTGTGATTTTGAAGCAAACAAATATCTGAGTATGTTTGAGTGAGACCAAGTATTCAGATCACACGTGTTGAATATATGGATTTTGTATCCTTTTTACTGTATCTTGCAAGGTTATTGAAACATTTTTGTTCTACTAGTGATTCACCTCAACTGATGTACATGCTAGAGAATACCTGGACAGATGCAAAGCTTATCCTGCAGATCATGTGTGAGCTGAATGTCCTTCCTTTGGCTCTGCAAATAACCAACATTTCAGGAAATGTCATGGTAATTTCTTAGAGTTTCTGCTTTCTTTTCTGTATTGTTTAATTGTCTCCAAAATGTTATAAAACAGTCAAAGTATGGGTGTGAGCAACCAAACCTGCTCGAAATCTGAAATTGAAAATGCTGGAAATGCAGAGCAGTTTAATCATAGTGATAATAATTGTGGTGTATGATCTAACATCTTATCACATTGTTGAAATGTCCTTGAGGCACTTTATGGAATTTTACTGTAAAGTGTAGAGACTGTGGATTTGTAGTTGAATGCAGTGGCCAATTTGTGCACAGCAATGTTCCACAAACAGCCATAGAGTGAATGACCGACTTTATCGGTGTGGGTGGGAGGGTACGTGTTTGCTAGGACACTGGGAGAAACCGAAAAACTGGACAATGAGGACAATAAACTGTGGGCAATGTGTTGGGAGGAACCCATTTATAAGAAAGGAAGGTAAGGAACAGACCATGAAACAAGACTCTAGAAGGAAATTAAAAGACCGCATGTCAAGAGGCAGCTAACAGGACTTAACCAGTGTGAAGTCCTAACAAGATGATAATAAAAACAAGGCAAATGAGAACAGTAAGAATGTGTGAACTCCTGCATGATAAAAGTGAGAGGAAAAAATAAAACGACATTGTTTTAAGAAATGGATATTTTGCCAAACAGATTATCTGGACTGAAAATCTGATCCTTATTTCCCATGTATGTCACCTATTAAATTCTCAGTCTCGCTCTGATCCTTCTATAACACTGCTCTAACCAAGCCAATGGCAAACTTCAAGACCAAATCTTTAACCCTTATCTTCTTGAGATGCCAGCTGTTTCCTCCCATCCTTTTTTCCTCTTTAATTTCACAGGATTATACTGGAATTTCAGAATACTTATTGTTGCCTTATGTTTTCGCTTTTTTTTGTCACTACCATCACAGAGCTCTCCACCCATTTCACAATGGACTAATGTCCAATCAACTGCTTCTTTGTATACTTTGTTTTAAATTCTTCCTAATGTCTCTTTTGTTCTTTTATTGTTCGTGGGACATTGGTTACATAAGAACATAAGAAATGCTAGACGAAAAAGACCCAGGTCCATCTAGTTCGTCTTCCACCCTCCTGGCGGTCGCATGCACATATGTACCGAACTACCTATGTACTATATCCCATAATGTTATTTCCTAAAAGAAAACTAGCTAATCTGTGTTTGAAAGAATCAACATTTCCTGCTTCAACTGTCACCCTAGGGAGTCTGTTCCACGGGTTCATTATTCGCTCACTGAAATAGTGTTTGTGTAGGTTTGTTCTGAATTTACCGTGTCCTCTTGTTTTACTATTCTGGACAAGTTGAAACAGCCTGTCATGATCTATACTGTCTAGCCCTTAGAATCTTAAAAACAGCAATCATGTCGCCTCTCAATCTTCTCTTTTCTAGCGTGAACTTGTCCAATTTACTTAGTTGCTCCTCATAGTCCAGTCCTTCCATTCCCTCAGTCATTTTGGTTGCCCTCCTCTGTATCTTCTTGATTTCTCCCATATCCTTTTTGTACTCGGCAACCAGAGCTGTGCTCAGTACTCTTAAGTATGGTCTCACCAATGATTTATACAGTGGCAGGATTTTCCCACTATTTTGGCTTGTTATTGATCTTTTGATGCATCTCAACATCTGGTTTGCTTTACTCACTGCCACAGAGCATTGTTGGGAGAGCTTCAATTTATTGTCAACTAGGAACCCCAGGTCCATTTTGTTTTCCGTACATTCTGTTTGTGTTCAGATTGGCTGTTGTGTTTGCCTACAGAATGCAGTCATTATGCTCAACAGTAAATTCTGTGAAGCGCTTTGTGACGTTTTGACAATGTGATGAGGTGCTTTATCAAATGCACAGGATTTTGGTGTTGTTCAGATAACTGAGAAATTCATTTGATTTGAAAACTACATTGTGCCCGACAAACCTCTGTAGGATCATGGGAGTGGAGGAAGATTGATCAAAGTTTTAATAATTATGATTATTATTCAATTATTATTGAAGTACTCCCCAACCCACTATTTCAGTTCCTAATGAAACAACATCCCCGAAGTGGTGATCTTTCTCTTTCAAATGCTAAGTAACACCATTGTTGATTTCTAGCATTTCTGTTTCTAATTCTGAGTGAACTTGAGATCTCTTTGCAACCTGTGCTTTTTTGAGCTTTTAACCACCAGCTTTTTCTTGTTGCATATAAGAGGAACAAGAGTTGATGCAGCTGTCAGAAAGAGTTAATTTGCAAGATTGTAAGGAAATGCTAATATTGTACCATTCATAAAGGAATCTATTCTGAATGTTGAGAATATTGATAACTAAATAATTAATATTTATTACTTTTAGGGATCACAGTAAATGTGTTGGTGGTAAATATGAATTAAATTCCTGCTGTAATGTAGAATTATTACGAACCTCCTATATTGTGTATGGGACGTCCTCCCGACATGAAAGACGCTATACAAATGTAATCTTGTTGTTGTTGTGTATATTCTAGTCAAGGACATTGATGGGAGGCCGCTCGGAGAGAAATGAATTTTTGCTGCTGCACGCCTTTCATGATAAAAACTACATTGTCCCAGACAAACCTTCCTTCAGGAAACCTGTACAGGAACATGTGAGTATGGAAAGATTCATCAAATTTTAACTCTTGGGTCTCCTGAAGTGCAGAGATTATATTTATGGCATGGTATGAGGTCATGCATGGATATGGCGGTAGAGTTTGCAATTTTCTTCTTAAGAGCTGTGTTGTGTTAATTAATGTTGTGGAAAAAAAACAGCCATTAGGTGGCAGGTCATCCCTCTAAGTTAGTGGCCTCTCTCATTTCCAGATCAGATCGCTGTCATCTTTGATATCCTTAAAGTGAGGCACACTATGATTATATTGCATGATCTTAGAAGGACGTAATGATACATTGCCGGCAATCATTTTTTACAATTTTTATTTTTTCTAACACTAAACAACTGTTTCGGGGCAGAACAGCCATCGTCAATCTCTGCGGAAGGAATTTGGCACCATCTTGGCTAAAATGAATAATCAAATTTTGCATTTAAATTCTAGAACCTACAAGGCTTTTAACATTTTTGGTTGTTTAATTAGCCATTATTTGATGAAGAAATGTGAATTCCACACTGCCACTGGCCCCAAAATACAATTTTCCTGATTGTATTTTGATTGTTAGATTATTTAGTGTTAAGACAAAGTCCATAAACCAGTGTTAGATTTTGCCCATAAACTTCTCCAAGGTGAGTATTACCAACTGAGTCAAATGTGGATGTTTGCCACTGATATTTGCTCCTGATATTTTATGACCCCCTTTAGGCAGATGATGACGATGAACTTGTACAGGGAGGTGCTGGCAAACTGAAGAAGGGACGGAAAAAAGCCGCTTATGCTGGTGGATTGGTCTTGGAACCAAAAGTTGGTAAGATATGGAGATTCTGGATAACATGAGATGTGTTACTACTTTTTTTTCTCTCCTTTCCAATTTTTCCTCTGGATTAAATTTTATTTCCCTTCTCCCCATCTTGGGAGAAATTAGTCCAATCTGAATTGAGATAAGGCACAACACTTGGCTGTTGGGCGATTTAGTGTTGTTATCATTACAGTACATACCACTCACTGGGCTCCAGAATAAATGCTGCTGTTGGGTGGCTTGTCTCTGGATTAGATGTCCAGCAAGTGTTGAGACTGGCCTACAACTTGATCAGGACCATTTATTGTGGTAACATGATGTTATCCATTCGATTGTACAATATGAACTGAATATCCCATGGGAGTCTGGTTAGGAAGGGGGAGTTGAACTATCAATGGATTTCTTCATTAAGAAATCCAGATATCTGATATTGGCTCGTGGGATCAAATTGAGGTTGGTGTGGGGTTCCCTCGAGCTACTGTAGAGTTTCCAGTTACTTCAAGGAGCCCCCACGTAGAAATCTATTTCTGAATTAAAAAACTATTGCAAAATTAACTCCAAAGTCACTACATTTTAGCCAGGTGTTATGAAGGTGCCAATACACTCTACGGTAAAATTTTGTGAAGCGTTTTGAGATGTGCTCCTGACGTGAAAGGCGCTATATCAAACTGATTATCAACCAGACTTTGTGGCTTCAAACCTCAAAAGGAACTGCGGTTGAAGCAAAAGGGATGTAAGAGAATGTATGCATGTAAGAGAAAACATGTAATGTTTTGTGAGAGAAAATGTATGTGAGAAAACATGATGCATTCATGAAGGGAAGGGAATAGAGGGATAATAGTGAGGGGAATAGGAGGGATTTGGATTCATGAGAAGTATAAACACCAGCACAGACCTAGGTGAGCTAAATTCTCCATTTGTACCATCTCACTCTACTTATCTCTGTGTTGCTACTTAAAATGCAAGTAGTGTTGCAACTTTAACTTTAACATCTAAACCGGTGTCAGAATTAATGTACTGGGATAGCTGAACACTAACAATGCTTGATCTGTTTGGTTTCAGGTTTCTACGACAAGTTTATTTTGTTGCTGGATTTCAACAGTTTGTATCCATCAATAATCCAAGAGTTCAATATCTGCTTTACTACCGTGGAGAGAACTGCTGCAAATTCTCAAAAGAATTTAGAGGTGAAGTTAAAGAAATTCTGTTTTTACTTAGTTGTTCACTTCATGACTTTGTGGGACATTGCTGTGCGCAATTGGCTGCCATTTTCACCTGCAAAATAACACGGTAACGATTGAAACGTTATTTGAGAACACATTTGTTGTACTGTGATAGAGTTGCTTCACTTACTGACTGCTGGGCTTTTCTTCAAGGGGGAAGAACCAGAAGAAATTCCTGAGGTACCAGACGTAGATCTGGAGCTGGGTGTTCTCCCCAAGGAAATCCGCAAACTAGTGGAGAGGCGGCGTCAGGTCAAACAGCTGATGAAGCAGCCAGACCTAAATCCAGATCACCATTTACAGGTAGTGTTTGGACTGCAGGCTCCTGGCTTTCAACTGTACAGTAACAGCAGTGCAGATTGCAGCTGCATCTGTTCTTGCGCGCTGTTCCACGATGGAGTTTAATCCCTTGATTCTTGTACAATGTGCAAACTACCATGAGTTGTAATGTGCAGACTACATCGACCGGGTGTTTTTGTAGTTTCCAGATCAGATCCATTGAAACATTTTGTCTGTCTTTGATTGAACCCAGAAAAAACAGAGAAGTTACCCCTAGCTTAGGAACTTTTATATCTTTCTCTCCCTCCCCTGCCACCTCCCCATGACATTTTTTTTTTTTAAAAACATCGACTTGAGCCTGACCTGCAGACTCATCAATGACCAATGCAACATCCTCACTGAAGGCTGCTTTTAGTTTAAAAAGACGCCAAACCAAATATAGCTGTTTCATGAAGTTTATAAATGTGTCTGATAAAAATTATTAGACAGCTTTGAATTGTTCATGGGATTCAGGTGACATTTCCTCCCTCTCGTATATAACATCAGCTAGCTGTACCCCTCAATCAGAATCCAGTCCTGCAATTATGCCTCTAACTTGAGATACAAAGAACCAGAGAAGTTACCCTTAGCCCTGTTATTGCGTTTAATATACCAGCTAAAGGTTTTAGCAAGTAGCTTTGAAACAAGCCTGTATTTAACACTAATTCTACTGTGTGGATAGGTACTGCTGTATAATCTAAAGTAAATCAGCTTCTGAGAAGGCACAAAAAGTTCAAGCCAGATGACGAGACAGTGAGCATCTAGTCAAGAAGAGAACAGCACTGGGAACTAATAATCAGTCCTAAACATGTGTGTTAGTGTGAATAATCTCTGGAATCTCCAATATAGGGAGTAAACCTGTGAGAGACCTGGATAATGACTGGAAATTGTGCAGTTTCATTCTATGCAACATGAACCATGATAGACATATGCTTGGGTTGCAAAGTTTGTGACCAGAACAGCCCCACAAGTTTTATGAGGTCTGCAGCCTGACCGCCATAATCCTGCCAAGAACACAAGAGCGACTCAGCAGCACTTCAATATAATGTGTTGGAACAAACATTGCGCAATATACCAGCAGGAGGGCAATTGTATTGCCATCTCTGCCTTGGTTGAGATCAACTATCTCAGCAGAGTGGCCTGAGAGCACCCAAGGAACAGCGGGATTAAAATATTGAAAGAAAATGTACCTTAGATTGTAAAGATGTTATATAGAATTACGTTACAGCACAGAAATAACACATTATGTCCAACAAGAGCATTGTTGTTTGTACTCCACATTGGTCTTCACCCCTCCTGTATATCCCACTTTTCCATTCTGCCTCATGTATGCATCACGTTTCCTCTTATATTTATTCATTGATGCTTTCTGTTGATGCGAGTGATCTAACCACTGAGCTACAGAACTCCACATATTGAAATATTGAACTTGTCCAAGACTGGTAAGATCGGGAAAGTTGGAGCCAAAAGGCTGTGGGGGTCCAGATTGCCTCTCTTATAAATTGGGTCTAAGGCCTGTTTGAAGTTATACCCTAATTGTTACAATAATCTTGCATTTGAGAAACAAGTAAAACTTACATAAGTTGTATCAGTCAGGCCATAACATTTAATATGACTTTCTCGAAGTATGAATTGCAGGCAAACTTGCGTAAATTGTATAAAATCTGATTCAATCAATAATCTACACGACACGTGTACATCAATGCAGCCGGTAAGTGCTCATGTGCCAATGGGTCAGACCGTTTTCCACAATTGAATGCAGCTGGTAAGTGCTATAGAGTTGTTATGAGATAGGAGATGATTTATAAAATACAATTAGTTGCAAAAAAAATCCAAGTTATTTTGGTAGGAAACTGAATGGGATTCGACTGTGTGTGCAATTTAGACGATTATATGATTTTATAAAGATAAGACTTGTGCAAGTTTCATGTCAAGAGGGCGTCTCGAAGCACTTCGTAGGATTTACCAAAATGTGCAGTGAAGGTATCTATGAATTGGCCTTGCAGGGAATGCGATCTGAATCAAGGATATCTGTTCAGATTATTGCATGCAAAATACACAGTCATTTCACTTTACAATATATTCTGTGAAGCGCTTTGAGTCATCTCAAAGATGTGATAAGGCGCTATATCAAATGCAAAGATTATTATTTTTTTATTTTAATATTGACCTTTTTCCTCCTCCAACCTGAAAAAATATTCTGACAAACGCCATTATTTTCTTCTATAAAATGGGAAATGCTTTGAAGAAAAGGTACACTTAAGACTTCAATTCCATGCTCTACAAGAGCCATGATGGCTAGGTACAAGGGATGAGAACATTAACGCAAAAAATTACTTTTGCAAAGGTGGTGATTCGTTCTGTTTTTACCTTCCCTCTAGAAGAGAAGCCATTTCATTTTTCCTTCTAAAATGTATCATCAAAAAGTGAGGTTGATTTTTGTCTGCCTTAAAAGCATAAAATTGCACCATTTTAAATATGAATTGTAAGTAACAATAGGCAGCAGCTTTTTACAGAAAGGCTGGCCCATGCACACCTTAAAATGTTCTTATTTAAAGGTCATTTTTTTAAAAGAAGATTAGGGAAGGTTTAAGGCAATAGAGGCTTCAGCCAGCTGGTGTTATATATTCATATACTTGCAGAAATATTAAAAAATTCTGACTTCCTCATCGTAGTTCCTGTTTTCCCCTCTAGTAATTTTCAACACAGAGTCCTCTTAAGTAAAGCTTGACCTCCACCAAGGTAGTCATACCTGCTCTCATTTTATCTCTTCACTAGCATCTTAGGCAGGCAGTAAAAGCTGAACTGTATCATGGTGCGGATTGTAATGATTCTGGAAAAATGTTACTATGATTACCATCTTGATAATGTGACAGTTATGGGTATATTACTGATTTATCACTTCATAGCAGCATTTTAAAATAATTGTCTTTGGAGAAAAAAGAAAGCTGAAACGTTTTAATATTTATAACTTCACTTGTCACTTCTGGAGATGTCTGCAAGTAAGAAATATTGACTGTCTTTAGTTTGAAGCCTGTGATGAATCAGGCAGTGTTAATAGACTGGTAATTTTTGTTTGATTATTACAAACTCTTATCATGACATTTACAATGATACCATGGCTTTCTCTGGTTACTGTTTCAGCAATGCCAATTGCAACTCCAGGTACAAGTATAGTTGGGACTTTCTGTATGTTGGCACCAGGCAATTATCCTTTTATGTCACCACTGAATGAAAGTTGCTTGTTTTAAGACATCATTGGCATTTCATGTTTTTTTTTGAGAGATGTTTTGTTTCGTCTAGTCATTGTGACTTCCTTTTCTTTTACAGTACGACATCAGACAAAAGGCCCTGAAACTTACAGCTAATAGCATGTACGGCTGTTTGGGATTCTCCTACAGTAGGTTCTATGCCAAACCACTTGCTGCTCTGGTCACCTACAAAGGACGAGAGGTGAATCTTCTAAGATCTTTCCATTAAGTAATTTGTATTTACATTGAGTAAGAGTTATATCTAATTGTGCTTATGTAATACAGCCTGATATTAAGGTGTCCTCACTTACACAATTAAAGCATTTGAGACTCAACAAAAAAAGTGATGAATAAAGCAATTGTGGTTACATAGCAATCCCCATGAGCATTGAATGCAGTTGCTCGCTACTGAAAGCGTCCACCTGAACAGGGAGACATGACCAAGATTTAATGTCTCATCCGAAGGGTGGCATCTCTAACATCTAACATCTCTGGTCCTGGAGTGTCAGCCTAAACTATGAGTTGAAAGTCCTGATGTGGGGTTTCAACCATGTCTTGACCAACAATTCTCCAGATAAAATTGGCCTTTCTCTTCATGGCTGTTTTTTGGACTTTCTTGTGTGCAAAATGGTTCCGACATTTCCTCAAGAGTACACATCCACTACATTTCACAGCAATTTCCCATGATGTGCTTTGAGATTTTTCAACATTGGAGGCGTTCTTATCTGCCTGTTCATGTGAACATTAAAGATCCCACGGCACTGTTTGAAAAGCCTACCTCTCCTGGTGTCCTGGGCAACAATGCCTCAAACAAAAACATTGGTCATTTACTTCATGGTTCTTTGTGGGGACATTACTGTGTGCAAATTGGCTGTCGGGTTCACTTACAAAATACAGAGTCACTGCACTTTACAACAACACCTGTGAAGTGCTTTGAGACATCTTCATGGCATGAAAGGCGCTATACCAAATGTAAGAATTATTATATATCTAATACTAGCATTTGAGTGATTTAAATAGATTACATTAAGAGGCGTATGAAAACCTTATTGACCTGATGCAGATGCTTGTTGTGTGGTAAGCGTCCACCAGGTGGCGTCACACACTGTAGAATCTTTCATTTGGAACAAAGTGATGGCATTACATGGGACAACTCCATTCTTGGACATTCCCCATCGGTCCCTGTAAGTGCTCAAGGACTCTGCCTGTGCGCTTAAAACTGCAACCTGAATAGGGCTGTAACCCAAGACTTCAGACTCAATTTTAGATTTTCAGCTTTCAGTGTCTCCCTGCGCTGAAACCTCAACAGTTTAATGTTCTTATTTTCCTGCAGCCTGCGTGCTGAACATTTTATCAGTCAGTTTTGTGGTATTCTAATGACGCTGGAATTAATCACTGAATTGCAACATATCAATAAAAAAAAAGTAAACACCTTCGCAATCACTGGGAAGACCACGTGGAAGGAATGATTCAGTAATCTTCTACTGCTTTCTTCTGTGAAATGAAAGCGTGACTTTGTTTGGACTGTTAAACCTTTGGTGTTAATGTTCATAATGTGATGTTTGGCAGTTTGTTTCACTGACTGCTGTGAACTGTGAATCATCTATTAGTCATTGCTATTAGTCATTATTAGCCTTACCCAAGTCATATTAACAACAAACATGAAGGGATTAGGAGGTTAAATGTTGCATCACATTAGGGAGTGTACTTTTTTTTACACAAGCAAAGAATTTGGAATCAAAGTGGCATTCATGTAAGTTTAGACTTTCAGCCTTCTTTATAAAATCAAAATGTAGCGAAAACCTTTTTTTTAAAGAAAAGCCAAACCTCTTATTTTAAAAAACATTCTGTAATGTTCTATGAAGAAGTGTTTCAAAATAAGACAGAAAATGGAATAACTTGTATTTATATAATGCCGTTCACGCAAAGGGTACCGTCTCGGAGGGCTTTACAGGAACGGAGTTGGAGTAAGAGAACGGGGGGGGGGGGTAGGTGTGTTCAAAGGGGTAGAATTTGAGATAGGATTCGGAGGCAGAGAGGTTAAGGGCAGAGTAACAAAAGCCATCAATATTACAGAAGTCAAGCCCAACATTCTTTCACACTCTGACCCCATGGTAAATGGTATGTTCAGAAGAAGAAGGATATTTCTTATGTAGTCTGACTGGTCAGTGGATAATGAGATCCTCTGCACTCCCCCATTGTCGTGTCCTCAATTGTGAGCCCTGGTTATGTTACTGTCTTGTAATATTGAAGTCTGAATGGAATACCACATGGGAAATAGTGCCTTTGTGTGGTCAAAGTGCTAGGTAATTTAGCATATTTAACTTTGAAGCGTGTAGTTTCTTCCCAGGGATTTTGGTTAATTCACAGCAGTGCATTATAAGATTTAAGAGTAGGATTTTGTCAATTGTTAACCCAATTGGTTAAATTGAAGTAAAGGAATAGACTTTCAGTCCATTGAGCCTGTGCTGGCTGGCACTCCTCCTCCACTGGAGCTAACTGCTTGGATCCCAACTCCCCGTTCTTTCCCTGTACACTAGTATGTTCTTCCACTTCAACTGTTTGTCCAATTCTCTTTACAGTTAGTAATCATCTCAGCTACCAGTGGCAACCATTTCATGTTCCAACAAACCCTATGTGACAAACTTCTTCTCAACTCCCCTTAACCTTTTCTTGTGATGGCCCTGGGTTTATGAACGCACACTGGTTACCCATTTGCCAACCCAAGCAGAATCTTTTATTAAACCTCCTGAATTGTGAAGACCTTTTATTCGATTTCTGCCAAACTTAATCATTTACAGGTTAGGATAGAGTTAAACTTCAGGCAGATTTCACATGTTGGGTTTCTCAGACCTGTGTAACTTTCAACATTTTAACCTGTGACCTTATTGTGGTGGCCTTGACTCTCAAAACACACTGCAGGTTTTTCTTTGTGTTGGTTTTGTTTGACGAATATGAATTTTAGTATACAGTATTCCAATGTGCAACTAATTTCCATATACTTCTATTTTATTCCTTTTGTGTTTTTTTAAAAATATCTTCATTTTGTAAACCTGTTACTGGCCACCGTGAGGAGTTTTCTCTCTTCTCTTCCAACCACTCCATGAATCATTCTTCACTCACTCTGAGTCGATTTGCCATCTAATTATTCCTTCCTTCTGAGGAAATGGTTCCCCTCTCTGGTGCCTTTCCTGATGTGACCTGACCAAGATTGGAAAGTCAGTACTGGGGAAGTGGAAGTGAGAAAACAAGATCTTGTCACTGGGTATCACATTTTCCTATAACCTAATGTGCAGTCCTGTGGTCTTTTTGTTTAGACTTTTAACGTATGCATTAGAATTCTTCTGTTGCATTCCTAGGATCGAGTGTACAATAGGGTGTGTTTTGTGTTTGCAGTAGTGGAACATAATATGATCATTGCACTGATTTGACTCCAATTGTAAGTCCATCATGACATACTAAAATGACCTGTTCAATGCCCAGTAATCAGTGGTGCGGCATCATTTGAAGCACTAATGTGCGTATGTGAATTGATCTGCTTATGGCAGCATTTGTGTTGCATGGTTCGTTAAATGCTGCATAAAGTAAGAGAAATTGCTCACTATCCCAAATATATGGGCCACTTCCAATTTCTCCTTCCCTGTAAATTTTGTAATATTGATTTGAGAAGTGTCATTGACCACTCAACTTTAGAAATTAATCCACCAGCAACACCTAGAATTGTACAACGGTGACGGGAAAAGAGATGGATTAAAAAAAGAGATGAATTAAATTCACTTTACAATATATTCTGTGAAGCTCTTTGAGATGTCTCGAAGGTGTGATGAAGCACTATGACAAATGCAAGGATTATTATTATTATAGTACATTCAGTTACTTTATTCTGACTCTGGTGCCACTCTCGGGTAACGAACCCTCTGAGACCACAGGTAATAGTAGGTAATCCTTGATTTTCTCTTATTGGCAGATTTTTACCCTATCCCATGGATTCTGCTGCACTTTGTACTATCCTGGTGAAGTGTGATAACTCAGCACAGACTGTGATTGGAATCTGCCACCTTCTTTCTGAGTAGCCATTGAGATTTGGGTGAATTTGCCCCTAAGACTTGTTGGCACTCGCCTCGCAAGTGAGAGACCTGGGTTTGATTCCCGGCAAAGTGAAACCTTGGGCAAATTTCTTTACTCCACACGCCTGATAATCCTCAAGAAAAAAAACAATAATAAATTGGTCACTTCAATCCATGACTGTTTTGTGGGACACTGCTGTGCACAATTGGCTGCTGCGTTTTGCCCGCAGAAATAGGCAATTCGCTTTACAGTCTATTCTGTGAAGTGCTTTGAGACGTCCAGATGACGTGAAAAGCACTATGTCAAATGCAAGGATTATTATTAGTGTAATCCATAGATGTTATGACCATTTGTATTTTGGTTGTGAGTCACTCATTGAATCTGAACTTGACATTTTAAAAAATATATATTGAGGTTTGTAAGGTTCTATATTGGTTTGAGAAGATACTTTCAGGTACATCAGGGCCCCGGAACAAGAAGGTACAGGCTAAGAGTTGTAAAGGTCAATTTCAGGACAAACGCCAGGAAGTGTTGGTTTCCACAAAGGTCAATTAATAATGGACCATGGTTACAGGACGGGTAGTTTAGACTAAGACATAGCTCATTTAAGAAATAGCTTGATGCTGTGAATGGAGCATGGTAGGGTGAGTGTTCTGAAAGGACGAGATCAAACATAGTCTTTGGATGGAATTTTTTTCAGATAAAATGCCTGAGACGACTCACAAATCTTCACGCATCTTACAGAGTGATATGTTGATCCTCTGCTGGTGGCAAAAATGTTGCTGATGGCAAGCGTTTTGGTTTCATTTTTGTTATTATATCAGGTTCTTATTAATATCATTTGTGGGCATTTGCCTACAAAATACATAGTCCGCTTTGCAGTACATCCTGTGAAGCACTTTGAGACGTCTCATCAAATGTAAGGATTATTATTATACATAATATTCACACAGTTTCCAGCCCTCTTTTGCTGTTGGTATTTGAAATTCAAACTTTTTTTCAATTTGTGTCTGTGCCTTTAGCAGGTAGTTCTGTTATGTGTTATTAATGTTCCTCACTTGGCAGAGATTCAGTACAATTGAGCAGTAATGGGTTGGAACCGCTGTTCCTTGTTAAAGGATTGGTGGAAAACTG